TGTGTGTGTGTGTGTTTTAAAGGCTTTCATTCCTTTCTGATGAACTTGAGTTTATATCTCCTGCCTCTTTCCATGGAAACACCTGACTCCTCAGCTCTGCCCTGTGGTATAATGGTTCCGAGCTGGGCCGTAGCGAAACGCCTCGTCACGAACGAACGCAGGGACTTCGAAATCAGAAAGCATCTGACCCTGACAGGCCGCAGGCCTTGCCCTCTAGTCCCCCAGGGCCCTCTGGGATTCCTACGCCTTCCTGTGACTTTCCCCCCCTCTCTCAGGAGCAGCCTTGGGAATTTTCTTTGTGATCACGCTTCTGAATGTTCATGTGTTTGTTTTGTTCTTAATCCATAGAGCTGAGTATTCCTTTAGACTCAATGCCACGTCTCGTTCTGGAACGTTTTCTCAGTTTTCTTTGCCCCTCTCTTTTGAGAACTCCTATTCAGATGCGGGATTTTCTAGAGCGAGTTTGTGTGAATACCAGCCAGGTTTCCTGATTCAGACTGGCCAGAAGGAAAGCATACCATGTCCAACCAGCTCATCTGGGGAACCTAAGTTATAGAGTCGTGACCTGCTGAGCCACTACGAAACTGGTTTCCTTTGGCTTCTCTCCATCCAGGCAGTCTTATACAGAGAGGTCCATCAGCAGGAAGGTGGGCATTTCAAAAACAAGTGTATTTAATTCATCTGGAGCTCATTACAAATAGTCTCCGTCGTCAAATCTAAAGTCAAGTAATGGATTCTGAGCTAGGAAAATAGATCTTAAGTGTTTGGTCGTCCCCCCCACCCACCCTTTTTTTTTAACATAATAAATTATTTTTTAAATGTCAAGTAGTACTTAGTCCCTATTTCTGTATTCCAGATTGATCTAAGATCTAAGTACTGATAAAAACCAACAGTATATCAAAGTAAAACACTAGTTGCCATGAGCGGAGTCCGTTTTGATGGGCAGTGGCCCTGGGGCCAGCGTGGCACTGCCCTGATGCTTCCCATGAGTGTCGTCCTTTCAGGAGCAGCCGGCCAAGTCTGTCTCTCAAAGAGCAGGGGGTGGGGGGTGGGGGTGGGGGGGGTGGTGTTCAAACCATACACCTTTGCAGCAGCAGATCAGAGCTGCGCACCACACTGCCAGAACCCCTTTTAGGCCTAAATGTACCAGAGGAAAATGGGTGACTATTTTTTAAACTATGGAGTTGAAAATAATAACAGATATAAATAAAAGCAACAGTGCTAGCAATCATTTTTGTTCACACTATACGTGTTGTTGATACTTACATTAAGGTGTCATTTGGTCATTCCTATGCCTTTGAAGCATCTTTGACCTTGAATACTTATCTGTGAACTTCATATGTGTTCTTTAAAGTTCAATTATGTCTCCCCCTGTCTCCTCTTGAAAACCTTGACTTTTATTTGGACAATGCTGGACCCTGGGCCATAATTACCAAGGGTTTTTCCTTTCTTTCTTCATACACTTACCACAATTTGTCAACATCATCCATAATTATGTTCTGCTTGTTCCTCGTCATCTCATTTTTGCTTTTGAGAGATTGTTGACCTTTTGCCTCGTCTACATCTGAGCGTGGAACAGTGGAGAGGGAAGACCGGAGAAGAAGTGATGGTCTTGACATACGGTGTTGGCAGGGGGTGGTCACATGCCCTGGGCTGCGGGACGAGCCAAACTGGCTTAGAAGAACTAGAACCAGACAGTTCTTAGAAGTGAGGAGGACAAACGTGGTCGCACACAGTTTGGACACGTTAACAGGAAGGACCAGTCCCTGGAGGTGACATCCTGCGTGGCCAAGTGGAGGGTCGGCAAAAAAGCGGGAGGGCGTCCATGAGATGGGCTGACTCAGTGACCACAGTGTGTGGGCTCAAACGTGGCTGCCGTTGTGAGGGTGGTGCAGGACGGAGCAACATTTTGTTCCGTGGCACACGGGGGCCCGGGAGTTGGAATCTACTGGAGGGCACTCAGCAAAAACAAGGAGGTTTCACACTGTCGGTGTAGGCACAGCGCTGACCACACAGATAAGACCCCTTATTGTGTGTGTCCCGCTGCTGTTTCACGCATGCGTGAACTCCTCGGAGAGGCTCAGCTCTAGCGGTCAAGAGTGACCCGTGTCAGGGTGTCCTCCGTTCTCTACTCCTCCAGGGTGTCTGTTTCTGTTTCTTACAGTCTGAGTTCTGTCAGCAAACATTTTGAGCAGCTAAAAAAGATGAATAAAAGAGGGCTTGTTTAGATCATACATGAAAATAATTACTTTGTATAATATTGACCCATTGCATCAAAACAAATTGTTTGTTTACCTTTTTATTCAGTAATTGTTCCTCTAGAGATTTCCTGTGAGAAATAAGTACACACGTGGGAAGATCTGTTGGCACACGGATGGCCAAAGGCAGAGTAAAAAAGGCAGAATTCTTGAAGTCCATGTCGAAGCATTCCAGGGGGACGTGGGACTATGCATGTAATGCAATGCTGTGTGGCCATGAGGGACAATGACATCAATGTGGATTTATTGGCACCAGAAGGTACCCACGATACATGGTAGGGTAAACAAAACCATTTATGAGATGCAAGTATCGAATGGTACATGTAGGTAACTTTTAATAAATCTGAACTCGGTGAAGTAGTGGGTTCCGAGTTGGGCTACTACCTGCAAGGGCAGTAGTTCAGAACCACCAGCTGCTCCTTGGAAGAAAAATGAGGCTTTCTACTCCTGCAGCGATTTACAGTCTCAGAAACCTATAGGGGCAGCTCTACTCTGACCTGTAGGGTCACAATGATTTAAGTCGACTGCATGGTAGGGAGTTTGTTTATGTTTGGTATGTCTCTACAATGCAGGATCCACGACTCCTGTAGCCTCAGTGCCTAAAAGAGTGTCTGGCACTACCTGACCACGTAATAACTCTTTGTGGAGTAAGTGAAAGATGTTTAGAACGTTCTAACCAGCACCTGACCGTGGTGCAGGGCTAGGAGCACTTTCCCTTGCTATAATTTGAGTGATATTCAAAATGCTTATTGCATTTCAATACAGCCCCCCTCCCCCCTGAACTCCCTCACGACCATCAAGTCAATTATAACTTAGAAGGACAGGGTGGAACTGTCCCTGTGGGTTTCCAAGACTGTAACTCTATAGGCGTAAAGAGCCTCCTCTTTCTCCCGAGGAGCAGTTGATGATTTCAAACCGCTGGCCTCGTGGTGCTTTGCAACCCAGTGTGTAACCACTCTGCCCCCAGGGATCCCTGCGCCCCACAATAATATTGTAAAATATATTAACAGCTGCTGGTGAGGATGTGGCATTTCCAAGCATCTCACTGGCCACGCAAACTGGTGCAACGCTTCTGGAAAATCATTTGACTTTAAATATACAAAAACATGAAAACGTTCACTTTCGGGTCTAGTCATCCTGCATGGGAATTCATGTTATGCACAGTCTATCTTTATATCTAAGGCCATTCCTCTTAGCTTTGAATATTAAGAGAATGAAAACCCCTGGGAAACCCATACGTACCTTTAAGGAGGGGAAGAGTGAATGTCACTTATGATTATCCATTACATGGAATTCTGTGTAGCCTTTTCCAGTTTTGAAGATGCTGTAGCAACATGAAAGAAAAGAAGGTGTAAAATGCAGTCATAGAAGGATTTCATTGCATGTGCAAAATAACCCAAGTGATGATGTTATTGTATGTATTTAAGATTGGAATTCTGGGTACTGTTTTCTTAGAATAGGTGTGTGTGTGTGCAGAACATGGATCTTAGAGCTGTAGATAAAGGCTTTTATTTCGGTGTTATATGTGTTACGTGTCTGACTGTTTATGTTCCCTGAACTCTTTATGCCTCAATGTTCTTATCTGGATGGTGGGGCTAATAGTGCTACCTCATAATTTTAAGTCTGAAATCACTGCTGCACAAGATCTACGTAAAGTGTTGAGGAGCAAAGGTGTAATTTTGAGCACGAAGATGCACCCGATTCACGCCATGCTGTTTTCATATACATACTAATAATGCTGGACAATGAATAAGGAAGACAGAAGAATTCATGCATTTGGATGATATTGTTGGTGAAGATCATTGAAAATATCATGGATTACCATAACAAAACTATCTAGGAGGAAATACAGTCAGGATTCTCTTTAGAGGTGAGGATGAAGAGACTTTGTCTCACGTCCTTTGGACATGTCAGGAGAGACCAGTCCCAGAGGAGGACATCATGCTTGGTAAAGGGGCAGCAAGAAAGAGGAAGGCCATCAACAAGATGGATTGGCACAGTGGCTGCAGTCATGGCCCCAACATGACAATGCCAAGATGAGACTGGACCCAATGGAATTTTGTTCTGAGCACAGGGTCACTGTGAGCCAGCACCCAACCACATAGAAAGGCCCAGTAAAGAGTAAAGACGAGACCCGACATGGTGGCTGAATCCGCTGTGTATATATATCTCAAAATAAGGATAGCTTCTAATAATTCTACAACGGAATGAAAAGTAAAATAGTTTAAAGCAAGGGTGGAAATAGTTTAAAGCAAGGTTTAGGATTTGGAATTGGATCCCATTACGGGGATTCTGCAGGGAAGTTGGTGGAGCAACGGTTAAGCACCTCGCTGCAAGACTGACCATCCAAACCCACCAGCTTCTTTGGTAGAGAAGGATGTGGTCATCTAGTTCTGCAAAGATGAACCCCAAATCCACTGCAATCAAGTCCATTTGGATTCACAGGAGCTCTGGGTAATACAATGAAATGCTAAGCCAAACGTTGGTTCCTGAAACCCACCAGGCGGCCCATGAGAGAAAAATGTGACTGGGCTTTCACACAGACTGGAACCTGGGGTCTCTAAGCCTGAGAACGCACTGGCGCGCAGCTTGAGTCGCAAACTCCTTAGGCGCCGCTTGGGGGCGCCAGGGTCTGTGCTCAGGCCGCTCCCGGCGGTGGCCAGCAGAGGCCGCTGTCAGCGCGGATACCGGAAGTCGCGTCAGAGCCCCGCACGTCGGTTCCTTCAACTTCCGCCGCCGCCGCCGGGGTTGTGCGCTGAGTTGCTGTTTTCCTTTAGCCGTCCTAGGCCCCGAAGCCGAGATGCCGCTGGAGAACCTGGAGGAGGAGGGTCTACCCAAGAACCCCGACCTGCGCATCGCGCAGCTGCGCTTCCTGCTCAGCCTGCCCGAGCACCGCGGGGACGCGGCCGTGCGCGACGAGCTGATGGCGGCCGTGCGCGATAACAGTGAGGCCCGCGCTAGCGCCGAGTCAGCGGCCTAGGCCGGCGCCGCGCGCGGGCGCCGGCGGGGCAATTCCCCGACCCCAGCCCTGGCTTCTCAGCCCCTCGACCGGTCCCCTTTTGATGGGCTGCCCTTGGGGGGGACCCCGAAATCGCTGCTCGGGGGACTCTCGAGATAGTGACTGTCGTTGGCGAGTGGGCCCGGGCTAAGGACTTTACTGCAGAGGAGAGCAGAGTTTGGGACCAGTTCTTACGCCCTTTCAGGCAGTAGTAGCACTTGGGGGCGTTTGGGGGGGCGGGGGCTCCCAGGTGTGTGTGTCCCCGTTCATTGCGTGGGAACTTTGGGGGTAGAGCGCTGTGGAGGCGAACAGGCTCGCCATAGTGTGCGTGTGTGTGCGCGTGCTTGTTTTCCCGGGGGGGTGTGCCCGTTCATTGCCTGGGAACTTTGGGGGGCGGGGGGCCGGGAGAGCGCTGTGTGGAGGGGCACAGGCTCGCCGTGCTGTGGGTGTGGGTGTTGGGGCCGACGGCGCCTGGACTGCCCCGGTGTGTGTAGGTGTAGGTGTGTGTAGGTGTTGAGGTCGACGCCGCCTGGACTGCCCCAGCTGTAAAGCGCCCCCACCTGCAAACGCTTACAGACCTGCTGGCCCTCCGCACAGCCCTGAACCAAGCTCTCCCGCCCCCGTACCCCACTGGGTCAGGGGACTGATGGGTGACCCAAACTGCCTGTGTAGGAAGAGGTGGGTGGACACTTACAGTACAACAGGCCCCCTGCTCAGAAATCCGGTTCCATTTTCTTCCTTGTGCAGACATGGCTCCTTATTACGAAGCCTTGTGTAAATCCCTCGACTGGCAGACAGACGTGGACCTGCTCACGAAGATGAAGAAGGCGAATGAAGAAGAGCTGAAACGTCTGGATGATATGCTGGAAGACGCCGAGAAGAATCTGGGCGAGAGCGAGATCCGCGACGCCATGATGACCAAGGCGGAGTACCTCTGCCGGATAGGCGACAAGGTAAGCAGAGGTGGTTTCTTCTTCGTGGTGAATGGACCCCAAACTCGGGGAGCAATCCTGATTAGGGGAACTTCTCTTTCATTAAACAGCAATTTCCTTTTGGAAAAATGCAAAGGCAGCCTGCCTGCCTGCGTTAGTGAAGCAGTCTACAGATGCGTTAATACAGGGCCTTGCTGGTCCTCGCTGCTTCGCTCCATTCTGCTCCATTCTCTCCGAGGGCCTGGCTTGAGATGCTTTCGGTTTTCTGTTTTCCATTTATTCTGAATCGGGCTCACTGGAACCAGTGGTTCTGTTGCATTTTATAATTATGTGAAGCTCTCCTGTAACAAACCTACAACATAATAAACATTGAAGTTGTTTGAACCATTTTTACACCCTACTGCCTGCCCTTTTGATTTTATTGTATATTTGTATAGATAGACCTATAGAAAATTGGTGGTGGTGGTGATTTGAATATTTTTATTGAATAAGGTGATGGTATATGCATGTCCTGGGCATTTTTTCCAATTCAGTAGGTTTGGGAGATCATTCCAAGTTAGAATGTTCAAGGCCTATTCTGGTTAACTGCTGCCGAATGTTTACACGTTGAGTCAGCTGTGCCATAATGTATGTAGCTTTGTAGCTGTTGATGGACATAAATGTAGTTTTCAGCCTTTTTTTTGTTGTTGTTGCTCTACAAACTGTTGCTGTATAAAACACTTTTTGGTACACCTCATTTTCTGTGTATGCTAGTGCTTCCGTGGGGTATGTGACAAACCTTAAATTGCTAAATCCTACACAGTGTCATTTTTGAAGTAAAATAAAGTTTTAGTTGGCATAGTCAACTTTGTTTCCTACACTAGCCAGCCCAGTTTATACTCCACTGTTATTGCCTGAGACAGATAACTTGCCAGCTTTTTAATTTGGTAGCTGTATAGTGGTTAAAAGGATAGACTGGGCCGTTCTTGGGTTTTTTTTTAAATCGTTTTATTAGGGGCTCATACAACTCTTATCACAATCAATTGTGTAAAGCACATTTGTACATTCATTGCCCTCATCATTCCCAAAACATTTCCTCTCCACCTATGCCCCTGGCATCAGCTCATTTTTTCCCTCCCTCCCCGCTCCCCTCACCCTCATGAACCCTTGATAATTTATAAATTATTTTGTCATAGCTTGCCTTGTCCAACGTCTTCCCTCATCCACTCTTCTGTTGTCTGTCCCCCAGGGAGGTGGTCACATGAAGATCCTTGTAATTGGTTCCCCCTTTCCAACCCACCCTCCCTCCACCCTCCCAATATCGCCACTCACATCACTGGTCCTGAAGGGATCATCTGATCTGGATTCCCTGTTTCCATTTGCTTTCTGTACCAGTGTACATCCTCTGGTCTAGCCAGATTTGTAAGGTAAAATTGGGATCATGATAGTGGGGGAGGAGGAAGCATTTAGGAACTGGAGGAAAGTTATATGCTTAATCATTGCTACGTCACACCCTGACTGGCTGGTCTCCTCCCCGAGACCCTTCCTTAAGGGGATGTCCAGTGGCCTACAAATGGGCTTTGGGTCTCCACTCCGCACTCCCTTCCTCATTCACTATGATAAGATATTTTGTTCTGATGATGCCTGATACCTCATCTCTTCGACACCTCATGATTGCACAGGCTGGTGTGCTTCTTCCACGTGCGCTTTGTTGCTTCTGAGCTAGATTGCCGCTTGTTTACCTTCAAGCCTTTAAGACCCCAGACGCTATATCTTTTGATAGCCGGGCACCATCAGCTTTCTTCACATTTACTTACTCACCTGCTTTTGTCTTCAGCGGTTGTGTTGGGACCGTTCTTGGTTTTAAGCTGTGTATTCTCAAGTATTTAGGTGTAAGAAGAATGTCATGATGGCAATATAAAAGTAAAACTGGGCTCTTGAGTCAGATTGCTGGCACTATAATTTCAGTTTCAATAATTAGGAGTTACTGCACTTCTGTGTGTCTCGGGTTCTGGATCTGTAAAATTGGGTGACAGTTTCTCCCAGATGAGATTTAACGATGGGGCCATAGACCTTAGATTAGTTGTACCTGTACGTAGTTAATGCTAAATAATGGGGGTTGGTGCCCTGGTTGTATAGTGGTTTTGCATTGGGTTGCTAACTGAGAAGTCAGCAGTTTGAAACCATCAGCCACTCCTCAGGAGAAAGATGCACTTTCTGCTGCCATAAAGTTGCAGTCTCAAAACCCCACAGGGGCAGTTTCTACTCTGTCTCAAAGGTCTTACATGAGTCTGAAGTGTCTCAGTGACAGTGAATTTGAGGGTTTTTTGGTTTGTTTTTTAATTAAAACAAGCTATGTATTACAAGTGAACGCCAAGCCTAGCGCTTTTGACTCAGGCCTTGAATTTTTAAGAGCATGCTTGACTCAGCATTGGAGGATTGTCCATCTGGTGATGTTCTGATATATTCCCTCCATGTTTACTAAGTAGCATACTTGGAGAAAGAAAGAAAATTATCCTTCCTATTTACTCTCCTTTGCCTTTTATATTTTCTTTAGTATTACTAGATAGTGAACCTACTGGAATTTTCTTAATTAATTGATTATGGTCATTCTTTTTGATGCTCATTTTGCTACAGAATTGTTAGTGGTTAATTCTTTTAAGAAAGTTCCTTCATCCTTTCTACCTGATCTCAGTATCGTTCTCATTACTCTGGAGTATAAGACGTTACAGGCTTAACTACTGTTTTCACTCTTTAAGCCTGCTGCCATGCATTTCTCCTGGATGCACTGATTCCTTTTGAGTGGTTGGTTCTATTTAGAAATCAGAATCTCATTGCTGTCTGAACTAGCCCTTTTGCAAACTTAGGAGACAGTAATTACATAAAATAAAGGTAGACACATACCCAAAAGTACCTTGTATAGATAATGTTATTCAATCTGGTGTCTTATGGTTTGAGATAGAATTGAATACTTAAGTATTTTGAGTATTTAGAACACTCAGATGTTAAATACTGACGTACTTAATGACAGCACACACTATACAGGTGTCTAGGGTAGTGTAATAAGCACTTTTCACCCTTAATTTGATAACTCTGTGGTCACCGTATTTCATCTCTGCTCCCATTTGAAGGGACTGCAGACAACTGATGTGATTTGACCCTTCGCCTCTGCTCAGCTGATTCCTTGGTTCTCTTGATAGGAAGGAGCGTTGACGGCCTTTCGAAAGACATACGACAAAACTGTGGCCTTGGGGCATCGACTGGACATTGTGTTCTACCTCCTCAGGATTGGCTTATTTTACATGGATAATGATCTCATCACTCGCAACACAGAAAAGGCAAAAAGGTACATTTTTAGAATGAGGCTATAAGGGGTTAATGTAAGAAACATGTTCTTTTTTTCAGTGAGTAAATTTGGTCAAAGAACTTAGCATTTATCAAAGAATTTATCTGTTCAACAAAAATCTTTAAAAACTATATTTGGTAAAATAATTCTGTTGGTGCAAGTTGTTCACTATTGTTTGCTCTTTGAAAATATCAGAAACCTTAAAAATTGGTGCTACCCATTTCTAGATTATGACCTTAACTATTTTTATTTTTCATAGCTTGATAGAGGAAGGAGGAGATTGGGACAGGAGAAATCGTCTAAAAGTGTACCAAGGCCTTTATTGTGTGGCTATTCGGGATTTCAAACAGGCAGCTGAGCTTTTTCTTGACACTGTTTCAACATTTACATCCTATGAACTTATGGATTACAAGACCTTTGTGACGTACACCGTTTATGTCAGTATGATTGCCTTAGAAAGACCAGATCTCAGGGAAAAGGTAATGGCTGGATCATTCAGTACTCAGATTTCAAGATTAACGCATGCCTTTCTAGTTTGAACAATCCTTCAAGATAGGATTTTGTTTTTTCCAATTCTAGGTTATTAAAGGAGCAGAAATTCTGGAAGTGTTACATGGTCTTCCAGCAGTTCGGCAGTATCTCTTTTCACTCTATGAGTGCCGTTACTCCACTTTTTTCCAGTCACTGGGTAAGCACAGACTCTCGTTTCAGTCATGTGTCTGTCGGAACTCGTGATAGTTCTGGTGTGCAAACAGCCTTTGAGGATATTTCACACACCCGGAAGTACGTGAGCAGGAAACTGTAGGCTAGAGTTTTTGTTTAGAGGATGGTCAGCAAGCTAGCATATTTCTCTTTGGTTTAGGGACTAAAAATTACTTCTATATTTTTAAAGGTTTATAAAATTAAAACCAAAAAAATGAGCACACACCAGAAGTTTGGCTCTTTGCTGATCAGGCTGTTGTAGAAGGGTGTAAAGCAAAAATGAGCAAGTCAGTCAGTCTGGGAAAGATGTGAGGGAATTCTGAAACTCCTTTTGGATTGAGATTACTTGACCCATGCATTTGACAGTGGGTTATTCTCTGCCTCAGCCAAATAATTATGCTGATTTGTAAAGGGCTGTGTGTGGGCTGAGAAAACAATATGCTGAAAGTACTTGTGTAGTTCATAGTGATTTTACCTAAACAAACTTGCTGAATTATTTTGTTTTCCATACTTTCTGGCCATTTGATATTCTAGTACCCAAATGACCATATTTATATCAGTAAGATAATAGGGATCCTTCCCACATGATTTTCTTACATCTTAAATAACTTAGCATCGATACATTCTTTTATGAAATAAATTGTATCCATGAAAATCGGGGCTGGTACATAGGTAAGTATAGGTGTGTGTACATACATACACACACATATGATTATGTATGTATCTGCATATGCAATTGTTTTGGTTGTTCAGTCACACACTCTTGTTTTTGGCAGGCCCTCCGTACCCTTCCTTTGGCCTCAGGCTGCCTTATTACCTTGTTCCCTCTTCCTTTTTTCATCATAGACGTATACGTTCAGATGTATACCAGATACATCTGAATGGCATTGATCCCCAGAAAAGTCAGTAATTTTAATCTCTAGAGATTTCCATCTTGCTTGAGCCCCAAATGTATCGTTGATTGATTTCTCTTTGTTAGCTGTCTCTCGTTACATTGTGCACCTGCCACCCTTCCTTATCCACTCCTACACTCAGCCTGGGTCTTCCGTCGTCGCCCGCACAGCAGTCTGTCTCTTGCAGTCTGTCTGCCTTCTGTGCCCATCAAGTCCAGTGGAGGGTCTCCTACTCACTTACTGTGTCACTTGGTAGTTTATGAAATTTGTTTTATTTGCCTGTTTGTTGCCCTTTGAAATTTATTTTCTGTGGCAACCAGGATCTTGTTTTTGTTTGTGCCTTAATTCACTAGCTTAGAGCAATAAGTTACTTGGAAAAATTATTTGTGCTTGTATGAGTTTCATAAATCCTATGTCCAATTTTATTGTAGTCATATTTTTAGAAATTTATTGGCATATAATTCACATGTCATACAATTCAATAGTTCAGTCATACTGAGAAGTACAGTCATCACCACAGTCACTTTTAAAGCATTTTCTTCTTGTACTCAATTGTTATTGGCTCATTTTCCCCCAACCTCCCGTGCCGTACCCCCAGGTGCCATTAATCCAGTTACTGTCTTTAGATTTACCTATTCTGGATTTCATAAACAGAAAACCACATCAAAAACAACAAAATTAAAAATAAAGTAAAACAGAAAAATCTCAGTAGGAAAGAAAATTTTAAATGCCAGATAGAACAAATTGACAATGAGTCAGAAGGGAGAACAGATGATCAGGTGTTAAATTTGCACCTAACCACATCGTCAGCAATGCACTCTCCAGTGCATTCTGCACGACAGCAAGGCTTCTCATATCCCTGGTGGCTCAACAGGGGATTCACCAGGTAGTGGAGTCCCCGTGTATTTCCCCCTCAGTTTTGTTCTGTTTTAACAGAAACAACTTTAAAGTGGATCAGAAGGGAGACCAAAGGTTAAGATACTTAATTTTAACCTCACTATATCTGCCATCATGGACTTTACAGTGCTGTCTGATAACGAGACTATTCACGTCCTTTGTGGTCAGAGGCTTGTGTATGTGCGAACCCTGCAAATGGATTTGGTTTTCCATAGCATTCTGCAAGACAGCTGTTCACAATTTAAGCTCTGATACACTGCCCTCCTTCAGATTTGGGTTTTATTGTTTATGATCTTTGTATCACACACGTTGGTGTGCTGCTGCCACGTGGGCTTAGTTGACAACTCACTTAGATGGCTGCTTGTTTGAAAACAAGCCTTTAAATTCCTTCTGATAGCCAGGCACCAGATTGATAGCCACACTTTGCTATAGCACCCTTATTGTCAGTGATCTCTTCATAAGGGAGATATCAAGTAGGGCCATGTCATAAGAATTAATTGTTCTTAGATTAGCGCTAGAATTAAATGGGAGTCCCAAATCCATTCATTTGTCTATGGTTTATATGTCTCTAGCTCACCTTAAAGATAACGTCATTTTATCCTAGAGAACATTATTGTGTTAGACTGGGTTGACTAGAGAAACAAATCCATTGACACTCGTGTGTGTAAGAGAGCTTTATATCAAAGAGCAATTGTATATAAAGAAAACATCCCCCAGCCCAGTCCCTAAGTCTGATATTAGCCCATATGTCCAACATTAGTCCATAAATTCCTCTTCAGACTCACGCAGCACATGCCGAGGAAGAGGGAGGGAAAGAGCGAGAGGGAGAGAGGTCCACCTCTTCAGATGGCAGAATCAAGAGGAAGTTCCCAGAATCCATGAGAAGGCCATGCCCGCAAGGAGGGATCATGGGGCTGTGACCTGTTTGAGAGGCTAGATTCCACCCCTTTTCATTCTTTTATCAAGTTGACATGAAATTGTGTAGCTACCACAATTACCAATCATCCCCCTGGGTCATAACATGATTCTAATGATAGTGTCAGTGTAGCCAATGATTTAGAATTGAAGTCACTGTTGAGAAACAGACATACAGTATAGACGGGGTATTAGAACCTCATTACAAAAAAAACACCAAACCTCATTACATAAATTGTTGACTTGTACAGATTACATTCTTAAGTAACCAGGGAAAACATTTTTAAGTGCTCTTTATAGAACTATTATGGTACAAATAAAGATGGGGGGGACCTCCAAAATGTTCATGGAAAGCTGGAATTGGATACTGGGATTTTCCAGACACTTTTTGAAGCCCCTTTGTCCTCCGCTTTATAATTTGTTTTCAAGGTATGGTTATGTGTTTTTCTATTTAGAATTTAAGTTTTGCTACCTTGGATTTTTTATTTTCTGTGCCTGTTTATATTCGATTATTTTTTAAAAAGTAAGATAATTTACTTAAGGACCTAGGAAATTTTCCATGAATAAAATATTAGGACTTGAACTTTTCTGTCAACAAAGTCCATTCGAAGCTGTTTCTTGTCTGATGGTAGATGTCGAGTGGTGTGTTGGCTTATACAAACCCTGCTGCTGGGCCCACCATGGAGGGGTGAGGGGAAGGGCACTGGGAAATATTTCACTTGTTGGATGCATGTATTTTGGACTCAACCAGAATTGCTTTAATTTTTAAAAATTTCCTTGAATTTGTCATGTTAGCTGTTGTGGAACAAGAAATGAAAAAGGATTGGCTCTTTGCTCCTCATTACCGATACTATGTAAGAGAAATGAGGATCCATGCCTACAGCCAGCTGCTGGAATCATATAGGTCACTGACCCTTGGCTATATGGCAGAAGCCTTTGGTGTTGGTGTGGAATTCATTGATCAGTGAGTATAAGACTTAATTCTTCAACGTCATCTTTTAAGTAACGTGTGCACTCCCCCCCCCTTAAAACATTGTTAAAATTGGCATGTGTGTTGCTTTGGCTTTTATCCTCATCTGCCTTGGTGGGGAAACTGAAATTGTAACGAGGTTAAGTGAGTTACTGCTCTCAAAGGTGGGTTTTTGTTACTACTTTTTGGACCATACTGCTGGTCTGCTATTGTCTCTTGGTCTTCATCTTTGGTTGATAGACCATTAACTGGATCATGGTGGCTCTGATTAATCCCATCCAGGTTTTAGTGTGCGGCTGCAAGTCATGTCACATTAGTGGCTAAATGTGGGATTCCTGGCACTTGAAGTATTGATTGAACTTACTGAGCCATTAGTGAATGTTTGCCCTGACTTATGCAGGGGTAAGAATATACAAGCAAAAAAAGAAAACAGTTATCCTGTGAAGATCATTGTGCAAGTACCTTAGATATATGGCCTATCTGAAAGTGAAGCTAAGAAGTCGGCCATGTAGAGTTTTTAACAAGTGGCAAACACTTTGAAGCAGGCACAAATTTGGATGTTATAGCCTTGTACGTGTGGGCAGGAGGGACACAGGTGTTGAGGGTGGGGAGAGAGGTAGTGGGTTGGCGCACGCGCGCCTTGTGGGCTGTGGTACTTGGCTTGGGCTTTAATGCCGTTGGAGGGTATGCGGTTAGGTTTTTGGTTTGATACAGTATCTAGACCTAGTGGTGTACGCTGTAAGGCAAACAATCAGATACTTTTTCTCTAAACATTTGGTTGTATTTATATTTATCACATTTCCATCAGAAACTTTAAACAAGTCCCATTTAACTCATGGCCCTTTCTTTGGGGGAAAAAAGCAGTGATGTTTGTTTTTTTAAGACATATCCTTGTCAAAATGAAGACATTACATTAACCATAGTCTCTAGTTTTGTTTCATCTCTGAAGTGCACTTGACTTTGTCTCGAAGAGTGGCTGGTGGTTCAAATTGCTGACCTTGTGGTTAGCAGCCCAACGCCACTGCTGGTCTAGGGCATCCTGTAGCTTTAAACTGTCAAGATAGTACATTCGAAGCGATCTTATTTGCTTGTATATATATAATTCAACATTACATACATTTGTTCAAACATCCAAAATGCCCCCATCTCTCTTGACCGACCATTACATACATTTGTTCAAACATCCAAAATGCCCCCATCTCTCTTGACCGACCCTTGGTGTCTCCTAAGCAAGGAGTTAACTTTTCTGTCTCCTTCCCAACCTGACCCTGCCTGGTGACCACAAACTTACGGTCATTCCATAATTCTGTGTTTTAACAGTTTGAGGAGCCACTAAGTATAGTGATTACTCCATTTTATAACTTCATCAAAATGAATGAGGGTGTGTGTGTGTGTATATAGATATAGATCATGACATTGAACACCTTTTAATATGCTACGTGGCCATTCAAGTTCCTTTCCCATGTTTTAAAAAGCATGTATCATTTGATGCTACTGTATTATATCGGAATTGCTTTTGCAATTAAAGACCCTGCTTTGTCATTTCTACAAAGAAGCTGATTGTGATGGGACTGTACTTATTTTTAAGTCTAGTCCCTTTCTTGTGACATGTTCTTATGTAACAGACCATGCCATCTGTGGAAAGGGGCAGATAGATAACAAAAATGCTACCCAAATTGGGAAAGGAAATGAATTTGAGACCTCACAAGTTACTTTGAAGTTGAGTTTATTAATTTTACTTCCTAGTCAGTAGTTTCCTCTGATATGAGGGGGTATCAAAGAATTCATGAGTTAATGAATTTCCCCATGAATTTTCTTGAAGCCCCCATCTGAATATGAACTCATAGGGTAATATTCTGGTAGACAGTATAATCCTACAGTATACTAGGGATGATCTTTGTTTAACAAAATTAAACTGTTCTTCCCCTCTTTTAATCAGGGAACTCTCCAGATTTATTGCTGCTGGGAGACTACACTGCAAAATAGATAAAGTGAATGAAATTGTAGAGACCAACAGGTACTGTTATCTTGTTCATTATTTTTTATACTGCTCAGAATAAGTGCCCTTTTTTAAAAAAAGTGGAGTAATGTGACAATTCTGTTTTTTTTTTCCCTCTTCAATTTATTTATAGGCCTGATAGCAAGAACTGGCAGTACCAAGAAACTATCAAGAAAGGAGATCTGCTATTAAACAGAGTCCAAAAACTTTCCAGAGTAATTAATATGTAAAACCCTATAAACAAAGGATTTGCTTTAGAGATGTTTAAGAATTTTTATTGCTTTACTATGTTACCAGCTCAACTGTATAAAATAAACATCTTTCCAATTTACTTTTTAAAGGTGAGTATAACTATTCTAAGATAATGTCACTCATTAAGTGGTTTTCATTAGAGTTTGTCTTCATAGAATTCTTAACTATACACCAAACCCACTGCAAGTTAGCAGTTCAAAACCAGCAGCTCTCTGCTCCCTTAGAGGCAGAACTTCTTCAGGGTCTTCTGAAAAGTCAAGACTAGGAGGTAACAACAAAAAATGGGGAGGATGAGCATGTATTTTTTGTTGTTTAAACTAGGAAAGTACATCATTAAAAATCAGTTGTAAATAAGCTGATATAATTTATGGGGATCCTTATGATGAAGGTTTATATGTGGTTGGGAATCAAAGCCCCAATAGTAAACATCCCTCATGGCAAATTATCAGAAGCAGTAGCTAGTGTCATTGTACAGCAAGGAGGACCGGATCGGTTGATTACTTGGTGAGGAAGGCGTTTGTGTTAATAAGATGCTGGATATTGTTTAAGCATTTGAGAACACTCACCTAGGTGTTTCTAAAAATGCTTATAAAATCTTAATGATTCTAATTTCTTAAATTACGGTTTAAAAACACCGTTAAAACCCACCACCATAGAGTTGATTCTCATAACTTAGTTTCCCCGGATTGTTACCAAGGTTTAATTTTGTTGCTCATCTAGAGGAGAGAAAAGCCCCAAAGTACTTTATTTACCCCTATCTTAAAATTTGCTTGATTTTACTTCTGCAATTCTAGGCCAATTTCCTAATAATTAAGGGGTGAGGAAGACTAACTAGTGTTAAGTATTACCTTCATCTCAAATGATTATGGAAATGATTATGGTGAGGAAACGAACAGTTTTACGGTGGAGGAGCTAATGCTTCCCATTTCTTAGTCTTTAAAAGTAATATATGCTCGTGACAGCATTTTGATGAAGTCTCCCATATAAGGAGAATGTGCATGGAAAAATAGCATATATTTTAAATCCATTTTCCATGTACTTTTTGAAACTTGTATTTAGGTTCTATGCATATATTAATTTCTAATCACTTTGTTATGCACTGTTTGGGTTACTCAATGTAATTACAAATCGTCGTGGGTTTCTGGAGCATCACGGTATCAGTGTGACGGTGGAAGTGAAATTGGACCTACCTCTTTTCAAAGGGCAGACAGGCTGGAGTGAGAAAAGTTGAATTCTGGGCCCAGTCCTCCACACACTGGACCTTGGGAGGAATTACTTCCTTCTCTGAGCCTGTCTGGATGAGGAGGTAGATTGGTCTAAGGAAGAGGTTTACTTCTGTGAAAATACTACAAACTGTAAAGCAGAAAACCAAATCATGTGTTTGACTCAAGGTTGTATTACCCAGGAAGTAACTTCTGCAGTGAATGGCGTGGGGGCCTTATCTGACCTTTAGCTTCCCTATTGCCACAAGGCTGGGTTCAGACAGCAACATTTCTCCCATGGCACACCATTTCTGTGCTACGTTTTACAATTTGTCGCAATGGCCACATACAACTCACAATACTCAATTATGGAGATTAGGGAAGGTAATTGTTATCCCAAGTCTCTCAGTGGCCCTCAAAGTTGTTCCTCCTCTTTCTAATGGCTTAAGTTTAACCGCAATGATTAGTGAGACCAAGTATATTTCAGTACGTTGGCCAAGTGGTCAATTTAGTCATTTAGCTACTTAGCTACTTAAGCCAAAAGTTGGGGATAGATACTTAAACCAAATACTGGTTTTTAGATAATTCTATTCCTAAATTACTACTACTTAGTAAGCTAAAAATTGGTCCTGAGATAATCTAGGATATAAAAACAATTTTTTACACACAAGGAGTTTCCCAAGAATTTCCCCGGGGGAAATGGAATTTAAAGGGAAAAAAAAGGATTAGGAGGACAAGCAAAGAACGTTGTCACGGACAAGGGCTTTCCTTGTGAAGCGTACAGATGTTTTTGTTAAAGCTATGGCTAACTTTTCAAAACAGTCTCGTTATAAGCAATTATTCAGAAAGTTAAACAAAATGCCTTCAGCATCCAAAAACTCTGTTGTCGTGAGTGACCTTTGCTTGTGAGCAGCTGGTTCACCTTTCTTTTGACCAGGCCAGTTTTTACTCACCGGGAGCCATTACTTTGTGTCTCGTCTTCAGGATCACACTGAGAATGCCATGCTGCTGCATATTCGTCTTCAAAGACATGCTTCAGAGTCTTGGTTTACAATGTTCATCAAGTGGAAATTTTGCTGAACTTTTTCAGTCAGAATTTAAATTAAACTATCTGGTAATTAAACCAATTAAAAACAGCAGAACTAGCTGGTCCTCTTTAATTAGGCCATGACTGACTGACATTCATTTTTCCCTCCCAACAGTATTATTTCTGTTGAGTGGATAACATTGATTAACCAATGTAAAAAAGGTATCTCTAACTTGTCACTTAACATCATAATCATCTTAGAATTTATATTGTGATCTTTTCATGTTATAAAATACTTATGATTAAAACTAGAAAATTAAGACTTAAAAAACCAACTAAACTTGTATAAATATAAGAATACCAAAACAACGAACTTCAAATTCACTGCCACTGAGGCAAAGCTGACTCACAGTGATCCGATGGGGGCAGAGAAGAACTAACTGCCCCTTTAGTTATCCAAGATCATCAATCTCTACAGGGGTAGAAAGCCCTTTCTCCGAGCAGCTTCTGGTGGTCTTGTCCTGCTGACCTTGGAGTTAGCAGCTCACCGCAGTCTTCCACGTCATAAGGGAATAGATGCTGCTCAGGATTCACGAGAATGTGAGTTGTCATCTGATTAACAGATGTTCCATTTGTGATGTTTGAAAGGAGTCTTTTTTTAAAGCATGAGGGATAAGGACTCTAGAGGAATTTTGTTTTTGAAGACACACATAAACAGCCCTTCAAGGAATGAAATCAACAATTTTCTATTACTCCCCGCCCCC